TTTTTTGCAAGGTGAGAGTTTTTCATAAACAACCTCGAGATGTACATACATTTGTGTGGAGAGGATATACCGAGTTTGTTTGATTTTAACAAGATATCTGAATACAAACAAAACGTGCATTGATATGTATTCAATGCTTTTAAAAGTTTCTATATAATTAATGTTTGTGGTTTTATTACTTCATTCCATTCATAGAGGATATTTTGCCGTCTATGGATATGTTTTGTGTGTTTGGAAGAACTTACATTATYGTATATAAAACCCCTTACTTCATATTCTCTTAGCCTCTTTAGCCAGATTGTGTGCACTACTTTAGTSTAGAGGGCACACTTGCAATTGAACAAATGSCAGGCACCACCTAATCGGCGACATTGTTCAAGATACCAAGTCGTGTAGGGATTGAAAACTTCCGGTCACTTGATGTGCTGTATCCATTAGCTCTTACCGTACAAACACATTTTTAGATCCTATGATGCTAATTATTTGCACCGCATATGACTAGTTTTCTCTTTGTGACAACTATGTGCTCTAGTCTCTTGATGTATTTTTTCCCTACATATTTGACATGGTTCTCTCTRTGCTCTTTTTAACCATTGATCTGTTGCATATGAAGCCTACCAATTTCTTTTTTTCTCCTTTTTTATTGTCTGATGTTGATGAAAAAACAAGGTCATGTTTATTTTCTTTATCTAACAAGATGGTACTTCTGTCAGAATTCAACCATTAAACAAATAAATGAAGGACGATAAAACTCATGGAATCAAGCCTTTTGTTTTGCCATTTAAATATCATGTTCTCTCTTCTTTTATTTCCTACCATTCGGTTGTCTATGTGCATGATTATCKATATCGACATGACACTAACCRAAGAGAGATCAATATATGTGTTTGTGTATATATATACACCAAAATGAAAATATATTTTGTTACCATAAACTGGATAATTAGTTTGTGTCAATAGATAACCATACGTCATATATAGATTTTCCTTCGTTAACAGCTTAACATTGTTTTGCAGGTTTTAATCAAATCTAATGGAAAGGAAGTGATCGTGAATGATAAATATCTTAAGGCTGACTATACTGTGCTTGCAAGATCAAGGTGATTCAGGCGTTCGCTTATTGATGATGACAGTTGCTCTTGATCATCTACCACATGCAAAATCTTCACAAGCACGGAACTGTGGATGTAAGTTGACCAGCCAACTTTTTTTTATCCGTCTTGTTTTTCTTTTTCTTTTCTTATTATTTTTTCCCTCTATGTTACACTTGTGTACTTTTTTTTCCTATATTTATATATTTGCCTTTCCTTTTCTTATGTTGTATATGTTGGATATCTCATGATACGAGTCTTTCCCAACAGTAACTAGTGAAAAATGCAAAGTAATGGTAATGCATGGTGGTTTGATAGGTTACAAGCAATTGCATCCAATTTGGGGTTCCGTCCTCTTTACTCTCCCTCTATATAGAGAAGAGAGAAATATCTCTTTTTGTGCAATTCCATTCAGAAACTAGAGGTAGAATTTACTTTTCCACCAAAAAAATCTGGCTTGACCTGTAGACTTGTGCTCTTGTTAAAAYGTTTCTTGWTTGAATTCTTAACACCGAGAATTATATATGCTGCTGGCATCGCGTTGTCTTGTTTTGTTCTATTGCAAATCTTGATTGAAKTTGTGCCTTTGTTTAGAATTTACCTTGAAGTTGTTGAAAGCTGCAGGCATATACTTTGACTTTGGATGTTAAAGAAATGGCTTTCAGCTACAAAATTCATAAAAATTTCATAACTGTTTGAGTAAATACTGCAAGGATTTAACTTTGTGACAAGTATAAAAAGAGTAACATTAGGTGTTAATATACTTCTTTCACAAGGGTTCATGCCATTGAGAGTGTAATTTTTTGCCTCTCAAACTGAACAATGATGTTACAGTCCTTGGCCAAAATTAAAATCCAGAAGTTCATTCTCTATATTTTCCAATTGAAGCCATTGCCTCTTGTAACCTTACGAAATTTCATGACTGTTTTGACCTTAGTTGCTTTCTGTTAATTCAGAGATTGATCCCCCTCTCTCACCCAAACAAACAAAACGGAACTTGATTAGGAAACCGTAGCTGGACTTAAAAACTATATGAATTGGGTGGGTAAAAATGTGGATTGTGTCGCTGAATCCCTAGGCCTCACCCTCTCTTCTGATTAATCTTCATGAGGCCAACCTTAACTTTCAAGAGAAATGAGAGCCTTTGCATATGTTCAATGAATTTATCTATATTCTTGTTGGGCTTTAATTTTTGTTTTTTGTAGTTTTAATTTTGTAGCTGGTCCTCCCCTATTTATATTTTCTTTATTTCCCTCCTTTTTTGTCTTCAAATTTTCATACCACTATTTTTTTTCAGTTTTATATATTTCTTTTTGAAAAGAAAAAGATGTTCAAGTACTATTTTTTTCAGTTTTATATACAGTCAGGTTGACCAAGTGAAGATGCTTTTATATATCCAACTGTTTTGAACGACTAACTCATTTCATGTACTTTTCCCTTTTAAGTTCAATAAAGTTCACATCTAACTCATTTCTCTCCTTTATTTCCTCCAGTTTGTGGGGTTTTATAAATTTCCGGTGGCCTATTTCAAGAAAAGCTTGCAAGGAAACCATTGAAGATCTATTGTTATTCAATCACTGCCTGTTTCATTCTTGTCCAAGCCCCAAGATAATTCTCTGCCTCACTACTGAAGGATAAAGACACATTGTGTGTCATTACTATAGATGTTGAATAATTGATGAGCTGACTGATATATATGCATAATAGCATACATGCTTCAGGGAGTATCTACCATGTCATTGAAATTCTAAACATGCATCCCTCATGGCAACAATGCTTATGCTCTCATTTTGTCCAACTCGTGGCACTGGTTGTGTTTAGAACGGCATCATGTGCTCATTTGAGAATTGTGAGTTCATGAGCTTGCTTTAAACCTCCTGACCAAAAAGCATACAGACGCCTTCTCTGTGTCGTTAACTATAGATGTTGAATAGTTCACGGGTTTGATTATCTTTATAATTTCAGAGATGATTGGGGGAGCATCTACGATGTTATTAGGATCCAACCCGTTTGTATTCTTAATCACATCTTGTCCAACTACGACACCATCACCTGTTGTGTTTCCAAGGGCATCATTTCTGAGACCTGAGTTTGGTTCTTGCTTAAACCGCTTAATAGCAAAAGACTTCCTCCTTCTAGCTCCAATGAGGGGACCAACCCTTCTAGCTTCCGTTCCATCAACCTTCAAGATTCCATCTGTAGGTCTAACTTCTACTGGACTAACCCCTTCAGTTGGTCGAGCTTCTTGAATATGGATAGCAACATCACTCAAGCTATCCTGATTGCGGGAAGATGCAACTTTAAGTTGATTAAGATATGCATCCAACTCATTTCTCTCTTGCCTTTCTCCAATTTGCGTGGAAACCATTAACAATCCAGTATCATGTGACGGGTTCGTTGTTCCGTTATTGCCTGTGCCCCCAACATTGGTTTCTGTCCCATTACTAAAGTTGGCATCAGGGACAGAAGGAACTGATAAAGGTTCCTCTATAATTGTGACTTTCATGGTAGGTATGTCATATGAAGCAGCCGGAGTCTGTTATGAAAGCTGCTTTTGCTTCTTCTTTGATTGTGTGGTAGGAGCCACCAAATGCTTGTGCTGTTGGGTATGTTTCTTATTTGATCTCTGTTTCCTCGATCCCATGCTCTCTTCAAATGCATCAATGAAATCAGAACATGACATAAGATTCTCAACAAGTTCCCAAGGATTAGCTGTCTCCGGCTAGCCATGCCAGATGATGAGATATTGTGTTTCCCCTTGTGAATCCTTTTCTTTTGTACAACTCTGATCTTTTATAGTATCCATTAGCTAAAGAAGTTCTTCATCACCATTTGCTGCTACTCGTTGGATACCTACATCACCAACTTCACATGCTCCTTGTAGTCTTTGTGTTTGTTTTCATCGTACACATTTTCACTACTGTTGTAGTCATTCATCGGCTGCTGTTTTTGCTCTCACTTCTACTTGCTTTACTCTACCGTTCGTTCCCTTGATCATTATCTTGCTTCGGACTTGATGTAGTGGTGGTGAAAGCTCAGAGCCTGTGGTTTTCCTTCTAGTTCCGCCCTAATCCATTGGATTTGTAAGAATCAGTTTGTAGAAGGGTTGTCTTTGTTCCAGCAGTCACATCGGTTCAGGATTTGGCTACCAATTGATTTATTTTTCTTCACCACGCTGCATGTTGGAAGGCTGGCCTATGCAAAGCTGGTGCTGCCTATGCATACAAGACATGGCCTCAAAGGTGCATTTGGTATTTTTCTATCTCCTCACTTTTGGATTATATGTTTTCACTATTCTAAGTTGGGCATGCAAGTTGGTATTTTATGCTCCCAAGCACAATTAAGGAGCTTCTCATGCTTGATGCTGAAAGGGTATGGATGTGGGTAAGAAAAAGGATTCCATATCATCCTTGCAGCAGCTTTCTGGGTCATCTGGAGTGGAAGAAATAGAAGGATATATCTTCAAAAAAATAAATGCTGAGAGACCAGAGGATGCTGTTTTAACAAGTTTACAAGCATCTCATTGGGACGGGAAACATGAAGCCTCTATTCAGTCCAAGGGTTCCAATCATGGTAGGTCTACCTCAACCTCTTGTGCTTTTATTTTTGATGTAACTAACTCACTGTGTTTACTTTGTGTACAATGCACTTTCAGTTTTTAATAATAAAATCTTAGTACTTTTCTTTGACCTAGTTCTTATAGATCTAATCAAGTGTTTAACACTCAGAATAATTTAATTGTTTATCTAGTTGTAACCAGAGTTAATTTGGTGAGCTTTGCCTTTAGAATATTTTCTTCCATTTCAAAAGCTTGATGAGTTCTTTGATCTCCTGTAGGCCTTGAGCTTATCAAAAGAAGAGTAGCAACTTTCCATGTTCAGACTAGCATAGAATATTCAACTGTCATGTAAAAAATTGCGAGGAAGAAACAAGTTCACACTAAGATAGATTTCAGCAATTAACTCACTGTTGACTACCAAGTTGTATGGCTAGGTAACCAAACTATTTCTTAATTGTAGCACAACATATGCCTAAAAAGGCCTTTTTTTTAATATGGATCCAGTTCTACACTCCCCACATCATTTTCCATAAGCATTTATTGACATAAGGTTCGGCAAATTCATATTGTTATATTTTTAATTATTTGCAACAGATGTCATCCTTTGGAAGACTCCTAATGGAGAAAGATAAAAGAATAAAAAAGCTATGGCGTCAAATGGAGGATGAAGAACACACTGCACTCATCTGCATATGTTGGTAATGTCACTTATCCATTACTACATTGAACTTTATACAAAGGACTGCTTTGCTCAAAGGTGTTTCCTTGATTGGCAGTTGATTAATTGCCATTGGTCCATCGTCAAATGTCAATAAATAAACACTTGAATCATCATGAAGACTTTTTTGTGGTGTTGTTGCCTTTTAACTAGCCTTAGTTCTTCTTTTCAAATTTTAGTGTACCTTTCTTTCTGTTCACAAAGTAGTCTCACTGGTTTTCTTCTCATTTTTTTTGGAAATTCTTAATAATTTATGGGCAAGTCTTGTTTTTCTCTATCACTTTTTACAAGTTGAGGGTTTTTATGGAATCTATCACTCTAGTCCTTGAAGTAGATGTTAGGATTATGTACATCCCACTCCAGCTTGAGATATATTGTTATCGTTTAGCTTGGTTTTGCTTGGTTTTTGGTTTTCTAATATTAGAATGAGATCTATACGAGAGTATGGCATCTTTATTTTGGCCATGAGAATAATGTGTGTAGAAACATTATTCTACAGCTTGTTTTGCTGTTTTGCTTATCATAGCTATGCAGTCTAACATTTTCTACAGCTTGTTTTGCTGTAGAAACAGTCCCAAACTAYTGCTTGTTTGTATCAAAACAGTCCCAAACTACTGCTTGTTTTGCTGTTTTCCTTGTGTTTTTCTAAGTAACATTTCTTTGGGTCTTATCACTGTAATTTCTTAGGAAAATGTTGACCTAGAAAGAGAGGGGAAAGTATTAGAGTTTAGAACAAATTACATGGAAATTGTACTCTCTAAATTTAACTCAAATTTTGTTTCATGTGAATAATTATGAGCAGATTGACCGTGAACTGAAAAGGGAGAGGAGAAAGCAATCTAATCAAGAATCTGCAAACATTTTTTTTTCTTCATATTATGATATTATTCTCATGCAGCATTTAGGACCTGATAAGCCCCATCTTATATCACCAATTTTAGTCCGAAAATGAATTAAATTTGATATTGAAAAATCCTTGGCAGCATAGGAATAGATGGTTGACTGCCAGAATGTTGATTCACAATAGAACCGAGGTTCCAACTATAATGTTACTGTTGGTTAAAATTGTGAACTTACTATCAATATTTACATAATATATGGATACCCCTTTCTTAACATTGAGAAACATATAACATTATGATCAAACCTTTGTAGTATATAGGCGTATATAGGTTGTATGTATGTTGGATACAGGCGTATATAGCATTCATGATTGGTTTTTGGCTATTATGTATGCTAATTTGCTTGTGGGGATTCTATGTTTATATAGGAAGTTCAAGTTGGAATGGATCATGCTGGAGAGCTTCGATACCCATCTTACCCAAAGAAAAACGAAATATGGAAATTCCCATGAATTGGAGCCTTCCGGTGTTGTAACCACCTTTTTGAAGTTCCGATAAGGTTGGAGAATTACAGACGAGAAGAGGAAGAAACGGAACCATTTAAATACTCCCCATGTTATACCGCCATCGAAGACCTAGTAAGATTGGAGAATTGCAGAGAGGAAGAAGAAGAAACCGAAAAGGAGACCATGGTGATGAGGAAAAAATGTAGCTTGGGAAAGAAAATGGAGAGAGCCAGTTAGTTCCCTAATTGAGAGATTGAGGGACTTTAATTAAAGGAAATATAATTATAATTTTATGAAGATATTAACATTTCCATAATTTTTCTTCTTTTTAAATTATTTTCAAATATATCATTTGAGTCTTGATCCTTGATTTTTTTGATCTAAAAGATGAAAATATGTTTTTCAGTTTTTTATTTTTCTGGGGTTTTCCCTTGAMYCTCYCTCTATATATATATATATATATATATATATATATATATATATATATATATATATGGGCCTAATCAAATGAGAACTAATTAGTTTGTGGTAACTGTAAGAACCAATATTAAACACAAATCAATAGATAAATTAGGAAATTTATAATTTTGGCAATTTTGAATTAAAATATTAATGCAAGGATATTTTTGGTATTTTAAAACTTTCCTCCCTCCTCTCTTTTCTCTCCGGCCACCGGTGGCCACCGTCCTCCGGTGATACTACAATGGTATCACAATGCATCACATATGTGCTTGGGTATCACATTGATGTCGTTTGTGTGGTCGATCGAAGATATAACACAGTGGTATTACTATGCATCTTATATATGATTAGGTATCACAATGTATCTTTTGTTTAACAAAGTCAATATTTTTAGGTATCACAGTGGTATCATAGTGGTATCACCGGAGGACGGTGGCCGGAAGTCGGAGAACGGTGGCCGGAGAGAGAAGAGAGGAGAGAGGAGAGTTTTAAAATACCAAAAATATCCTTGCATTAAAATTTTAATTTAAAATTACCAAATTTATAAATTTCCTAATTTATATATATATATATATATATATATATATAATTTGTTTTCAATATGTACATTTAAGGTTACATGTATATGATCATATGAGTGGTGGTCTTGACGCAAATGAGGATAATATGAATGCATACTGTAACATTCAGACTGTTGTTTTAATTTGGGCAAATAAAATTATCTTAATCATGTATTTGTTCATTTTACATTTATGAAAAAATAACAATTAATATGACACATATCATATATTATGTGTTAGAAAAAGATCACTATGAAAGGTTCTAGTCACCTGCAGACCTTTTTACTTACCGGTCTTAATGAAAAAGGTGCTTAATTGTGTGTCGGGGTATAGATTGACTTTTTCTAACACAAACAATCTTTCATCAATATAGGTTTTTTCTAATACTCCACACAATATGTCTCTTAAATTCTACATACTCAATCTACAAAGCAATGAAATGAATCAATTTGGTACTGTGATATGCCTACAAAACTTAACTAGAAGCTATACTGAAACCGTGGACCAAATAAAATAACATCCTACGATATCAAAGGAAACCAACTCTTGACGCTACAACATTAAGCAATTTCTACCTTAGGAGTAAGAATTCATGCATGATGGACGTTCAAACGAGATCAAGGACCAAATAAGGGAACCCTTTGTAGTTTTGCACGCCATTTACAAGATTTGATTGACTTGTTCCCTCTCTTGATCTACCTACAATCTCATTAAAAAAATCGAAAGCTCCAACGGTTCCAAAAGTTGGATATCAAAATTTCGACAAAGTCATCATCATCTTCTTGAATGTGGAAACCTAGATCGAGAACTTTCCCAATATAAGTCTTGATGATGATTCTTTGCCACCCATTTTCACATT